CAGTAAATGTAAATATCAGACAGATATCTGAATATTATTTTGTTTTGCAGCCCTGAAATTGCATCGGGTGTCTTTAAAGGGTCACAAAAGACAAATGATCTTTCTTTTCTAAATGACATGCAAGCCAGACAGACTTTTTGGCAGGAGCTACGCTGGATACTGGCTTTGTAACATAAGCACCACAGCAAGATAACATGAAGAATGAGTAATAATCCGCAATATTTACATCATCCTCTGATGCAATTGATGAATATGTGAATATGTGCTTGTCTTTTATGAAAAACTTCACTTGTACCCAAATAATATTATGACGTTTCATCTGCATCAATAGCAACGAGTGCAAAAATTCAGATTACTAGACAAGAACAAAATCATATAGTGAGCATGACGAATATTATCAATTGCCTTATTAGATTGCAATTAATTACATTCTTCCGGTTATTACTAAGCAAAGCCCCCCTCCCCAATCGAACACATGCTAAACGATTGATCGCACCGCATTTTGTGTGATCGTGAAGTCTTCAGAACTCAATGTACTTAACGTAACATCTACAAAGACTCTATTTGAGAGAGAAAACACTATATCCTGTATACGTGATTGTTCTCAGGAAACAAAAAACGCAGAAATCTGACCTCGGGACATTTACACATGTGCGCCGCCATCTTTTCACGCGTACGAGAATCACCGGATATTGCGTAACGTATGCTCCAGACTATTCTATATTTTCAAAGGGGGGTTTACCAAAATCCATTGTAGAAAAGCTACAGTGGAGACAGATATATGTGATATGCGTGTTGATTAAATATATACCTAATATATTTTATAGTATATGGTACTTTAAAATGATAGATATAAAATGTGATAATAAATAGAATGTTGCGCTATTCAATAACACAAATAATCCGATATCAACCTCCCTGAATAAAGTGTAACATTCCGGGTGAAAACTCGTGCCCAGAGTAGTTGGTGAAGGCGGGACGGTTGTATCGATGGTGGTAAACATTTAGATAATACAGCGTTTGTCTGTATTATATATAAACGTAAAGGTTTCGTCCAACGTTGATGGGTAGTCAATAGTCTGGAAATTCGGTTCATCAGTTTGGTTCACAAGATTCCACCATGGCGGACGTGAAAATGAAGGGAAATGCGAAGGTAAGATGATGTTGCTATGGACTCGATGATTGCTGGCTGTTTAAAGTTGTAGCTGTTAAATGTGACTATGACAACTTTAACAAGTCAGTTGTCGGAATTTAATACTGTTATCTATTGAATTAGGATCAGACTTTACTATATGAAAAGTTGGTTGTGCCTAACCACATTGGTCAGTTCATATAGATACAGGGAGCGGCCAATATTCATCAGGGGGTGGGTTTATTAGTTCTTGACACGAGGAAGGTCCTTTATAATATAAATTATGTCTGGTCGGACCCTCGACACACCAGCCTTCCCGCCTCAGAATATTGAATTCACCCTTTTCATGATTTCTTATCTTTGACAATTTTTTGTACTTAAATTCTTCCATGTCTTTGAAGACGAACTTGATTACTATGTGTGTAACGTTACATAACGTTATAAACATAACATACAACCAAGGAGCTCTTTAAAAATTCAACCTCCTCGATGCAACATTTAATTTTTCATTTGTCACAATTTCTATAATAGCTCTTCCATCTCCTTCCCCACTATAATTTTTGGTTAATCCCTGACAGGAACTGCAGGAGGAGAATGTGCGGTTGAGACAGGACCTGCAGGAGCTGAGGAGTCTGTACGACCAGCTGGTACAGGAGGGCGGGGCTGAGCACTGGGAGGAGAGGAGAGTCCACATGCTCAAGTCACATGTCATCCAGCTGGAGAGACAGGTGCGCAAGGGTACCGAAGTAACGGGCTCTGCTCTGGGCACTCAGTGTGGAACTCGCGGGAAAAATGGCATCGGCACTTGGGGCCTGAAGTGGAAGAAAGCCTTTCAGCATACTAGAATTCCTGTGTGGAGCTTTCTTCCAGTGCTGAATTCAAAGCTCCGTCAGAACTGGAATTCCAGAGCTGAATCTTGTCTCGGCACTTGCTAAAGTTTAGACTTAGCATTTGGTGGAGGTCATTCGAATTCAGTCATTAGTGGATAAAGCAATTGTCAATGTACCTATATAACGGCATCATATATATAACGGCATCTGCACTGGGTTTTCCAGTTCTTGGTGAGCTCTTTCTTAAATCATTTCAGCTCGGGCTTCCGGTGCTCATGTCCTAAAAGCACTGGAATGTCCCAGTGCTGGGATTTATAGTTTTTATGTTTGTTGCCTAACAGATAGTTCAGCTGACAGGTGCTGTGAGCTCCCACAAAGATGCCATGGTGGAGGCTGATTCTGCTCTTGATACAGTAGTCACAGCACTCAGGTTGGTGACCTTGATCATGAAGAACTTTCCATCAACTCGTTTTACTCATTTTTATCAGGGGGTTAGCCTTTATATGTACACAGCGTTTTACAGTTGCGGTTTTATGAACAGAAATCAAAACATAAAAGATCTTTGTGAAACAGAAAAAAATGAAGCGGGCAAATCAGAGAACCAGGTTATTAAATTGGTGTGGCCTAAAGTTCAATCTCTCCTTTCCTTTCTCAGGGAGTGGGTTGCCTGTGAGTCTCCAGGTCCGACAGTGTCCATACAGCGTGCCCAGCTCACCCACCTTATACACACTGTCATGGGAGCTAAAACAAGGCTGAAGAAACAGGGAAAGGTAAATAAAATGCCTCGTACTTGTATGACATCCCTTTGTTTGTTTTTTTTGTCTTCCTTGCACAGGTTCAAACTCCAGTCAGGTCACTTTAAGTACTTTAAGTTCTTTTTACACAACCTGTAATATTTACTCTCACCTGCTTATGTTTTTGTGTCTATCAGACACCTTCCTTCTGATTGGAGTTCTGTTTCTCACTGCTATATGTAGCTGATGTAAGCAGGTGAGAGTTGTGTACTAACTGGTTGTGTACTAGAAAGAAAACCCCAATATGCTGCAGTTGTATGTTTTACCAACAAGATGATGTAAACTGCTTTTGATCTGCAGCTGACTGATGATGATAGTGTCTTCTCTGCTTAGCAATTTTTGCATTAACTGATGGAAAGAGAATGGCAGTAGTGCTTTTACAACTGTGTGACCAAAGGGCTTTATAAAGAGAGATATGTACTACCTTATTCACTGAAAGTTGTCAGGGAAGGAGTGTTGTCATGATATACATGTAAATGTCTTCATTTAACTTATTACAAATATTATAATCACTATCTGCCCCCACCAGACTGGGTTTGCCTGTGACAGTGTTGGCCAATCATCCTTGCTGAAGAGTGCTGCTGTTAAAGGCAGTATAGAAGGTGTCTCCCTATTGGACATCTGCAGTGGTGACATCAGACATCTCAACCTCAAACATGTGGTAAGAGAAAGCAGAACAGTACAATGTAGTTTCATTGGTCAGACATACAATGTCATGTACATGTATACTAGTTGCTTTTTGGTTGTCATACTTTTCAGCTTTTAAAAATTAGCAGTTTCAATCTACCAAATCAATGTTTACCTGCTGTGCAGATATGCTAAAAAAGTATTTTGGGCCCTGCAAATACCTTCTTACCTTTCCATAGGCCTCCCTGGAGTCCCAGCTGTCTCAACTGTTCAAGAAGCTGCTGAGATTGCAGCAGTGCATGGACAGCATCAGGAGCCACCAGCCTGTCCCGCTGTTCTACCAGACGGACAGCATGCTATACGACAGGCTGACAGCACAGGCTGCAGACCTGGACAAGCTGCTGCACCAGTGCTGTCAAGACCTGATGCACCTCAGCCTGCTGGTGCCTGCTGCTCCTTGGGTTAGTTTTACTAGCAAATGGTTTTATTTGTATTAGGTGACTGTTTCTTTAACCTCTGAAACTTTAAGGTAAGATTTGCAAAGCAAAATGCACAATGTCTAGCTCAACAAACTCCTGGACTGTTTATCATTACTCAAAGTCAAATACATTCTTATGTATGGTGAGAACTGAGCAGGCTCTCCAACTCTGTCATGTTATGATGAAACCCAATACCACTGGGTGTCTGCTACAGCACCAGCTACCATGGTGACAGACATCTGGTCTAGGTCGTTGACTTTATTTGTTTGGAAGGGAAGAAGATGAAACTGAGCAAAAACAACATGTTTTCCTTCAGTGAAGATAATGAAAGGGAAGCTACGTGGCCTGGTTGAAAGTACTGTGTTCATGGCCCTACATGCATCATGCAAATGAAAGTTTTCAAAAAAAGACAAATGGAAATGATGCAATTGGTTCACAACCATAGAATTGACATTTGTTGTTTCAGTCTGCAGTCAGACGGTTACCCAGCATGCACTTCTCTGTGGATGATGTCATGGCAAGTCTTCCCAGCATGCCACGCAGTAAGCAATATGAGGTACAGAATTTACCGATCATCTGAGCTCAAGAAGATTTTGTCGTCAATGTAGATCTGTAGTAGCAGTACTCAATTTATCATTATTTGTACTAAGGACAAAAAACAACAAGTCATAATTAATGGTACATGTGTCTATTATGCATACAGGTAAAGAAGACTGTGGAAAGTTTGATGGTAGCTGTGGGTTATTCCAAACACATGACAGCTATGCAGGTATGTCTTAGTGATCAGAATGTATATCTCAACATCAGTCGCTCTTTTATCACACCCCGAAACGTAACCAAGGAGAGACATTACTTGTGGTGAAAAAGAAAATCCCAATATCCAGTACTTCATGTAAATGTACTATCATGTTCACACCTACAGATAGCAGCCTGGAAGAGGAGTTGACTCATTTCAGACAGGTGCAGAACTTACAGATAAAGTACACCACCACCCTGGTGCAGGCCCTCACTCAGGCTTACAACTCATTCCAACAGGACGTCCTACAGGGAATCAGTAGCCCACTGCAAGGTGAAGAAAACTTCCACACATTGTAATGTTAACTGTACAAGTGTATCATATGTTAGGACCTAGGGAAAATGTGTTTCCTGTTACCCGACTGGCCCTAGCAAAAAACCCTTGACCCTAGCCTTTTTTGGGGGTTGACCACTGACGAGAGACATGAATTGATTGGAAATATAGTAAGTGGTGTGTACCAGTACATTGGACAGATCTAATCATCAGAACTAATTTAATGTTTCGGTTCAAGTCCAAAAACATGAGTGTACTGATGCACTTCAGTGTTGTATTAACTCTACTCATCAGATCACTTTTAGATTTTGTGTAGATATTTACGATAAATTGATTTTCATCATCACTTTTCTTCCAATCCTGCATCAAACAAGCCACCTGTAATATACTTTGTCTTTGTGTTGCTTTTCTTTGAAGGTATTTTGGAGTCATACAGGGAACTCAGGGACACAGCCTCTGAAAGTGCACTCAGGGACTTTTTAAAGACCTTCAAAGAACATGCAGATCAGGTGGGTATCAGTCACTGTTACATGTAGATAGCTAAGTGAAAGTTTTTACGTCAACATTAACCCTGAACAGCTGTAAAGAATTACATTCTTTTCATAACAAACCTAGATATAACAACACAGTGTTAACTA